TTTTTTAGAAAATAAGAAAAAAAGTTGTAAATTCCGTAAAAGCTTTGGAAACCAGTTTCATGCCAGTTGCCCAGAAACATGTATATATCTCTCTTAAAACCTACCGTTGCAATGATCCACTCGGCTCGATGACAAACTAGGTTTATTCGAGGCCCATTCGGTGGATAACATGCTGCATAGTATGCTTCCAAGCATGACGCTAATAAATAAGCTAAAATCGCGATCAATGTCACGTGAGCATCCTGAAATATATGAAAAATTTACCCATAATCAGTAAAATTAATAAATAAATTTCTAACAGGAAAAAACTTACAACTTTTCGCCACATATGTACGGAATTCGCTAGAAAACTAGTCAATAGCAATACAGCTGTAAATATCGCCCATGTGGCCACTATGCCCACAACAGCTCCTGTAGAAATGTTATTTGAAGAGCGTACTTAAGACGCGAAAGTAGTGTGCGACACAAGTTTAAGTATTCAGGCGCATTTTTTATCGTAATCTAAGCAAAAAAAAACGCATAAGTGCACTAAATTTCTTCAATTCGATGCATTTTTTTGGCTGCATCTTCTTGAACTAATAGGTTTAAATAGCAAAGTACTAAGATTTTTTACCTTGCCATTCCGTGTTTGTTCGTATAACAAAATCATGAAATGATGTCCCTCTCATGGGGCCAAGTACTAAGCCCAATATGGCAGCACCTAATATCTGAAATGGGTGTGCTTAAACCATCACATGGTCGTTTATTTCTTACATTCACCATTGAACTTACTAATTCTGCAGCTTTTACAGCCACTCTCGCATATAATGGATATCTCTTCGTGTCGAGCTTCTTATCCGTCCGTAACATTGTCGATGGCGGATAGGTGGTGTAAGATGGCGCGTAGAATGGTCGTATCCGCCGAAGAGTTGTCGGCGCCTGGATTTAGTTGTTGGGAAATCAAACAGCTTTTTCTGGAAGGTTATATCAAACCTCATTAGGATATCGTTGAAATTGCGAATTATAGTCAAGTGGCGTTCCACCGAAATCAGTTTCCTGCGAAGTGAAAAATACTTAT